ACCACAGCAACATCACATAACTTGACTAGAATGACATTTTCGTTCATCATCAGATCACTATAAAATTTCGAAAATACGGAACCGGTCTATAACGGTTCGCAGAACTGACTATGTGAAACATGTTTCTTATCCAATAGTATTCAATAATAAACCGATAATATATACAGATGGTCTCGGTATATAATTTTACGACACCCTGTACATACAATCAGATTACCTTAACATTTTTAAACAACATGGTATTTTCGATTTCATATTAGATATGCAGGCATCGAGACGAATTTAACGCTCTACTATACAATGACCTTGAAATATACTTGACTCCCGACATTTCGAATGTAATTTGAAAAAAAATAGTAAATTGTGCTCGTCGAGAATCATGTCCTGGAGTACAGGAAAAAGCATATCTTGACGTTACATTACCTCTGGCGTGTTTAATCATAACAAATGTTCGAATTGTAAACCAAAAGCCTGGTAGTATTGTCCTCAGTTGTAATCATCTTCCATTTGCTTCTTTTCTCTTTTACTCGATATCGTAAATTACTTCCATAGACACACACGTACGTGGGAAATAGTATCAACATAATACATACGTATATGTATAGCGTTGCGTGATAAAATACACAACTCCACAGATATCGCGTAATAGCGAATAAGTACGCCTTTCATGTTGCTAGCAACAGACCCCATATTAAGTCTGACTTTATCACTTGAAAAGTAATGATGTTTTCAAATAGTGAGAAAATTGATACGTTTCTTTTCTGCTCGTTAACTGTGATAGGAATGCGCGTATGTTTTTACTATGTACGTAACAAAAATCAAACTGGAAAATCCGACACTGCTGACATAAGCATTGTTTTTAATTTATTTTTTGCGAATATCAATAATCGACTGGTATTTGCCTGTGATTATATAGTTGGAATACAAAATTTAATATATGATGATATGAGCCGTTTATTTTGAGACTGGCATAAGTCACTTTGTTTTTAAGTCCATATATTTCAGAGTTTGCGTTTTAACACGTTTAAAAATATGAATGCTAACTTTCGAGAAGATTTACTTGTATTCGTTATCTCAGGATACTGATATTTTTCTCAGTATAAATAATTTCGTAGAAACATTAAAAAATCACCACTTTTCATTACGGTAAAGTCATGTCAAGGTCATATTATGGTTATGTCAAGGTTATGTCAAAGTCATGTCAAGGTTATGTCAAGGTCAACATATGAAAATTTTAAGCAAGGTGTACAGTTCAACGAATGATTCGCAAAGCTAATTTAATAAATAATAATCGTGTTAAAGGACGTAAGGAATATGTTTATTAGGGAAATATGAAGGATATTATCAATAACCTTCAAATAACCTTCAAATAACCTTGACATATCAAGGCCATATCAAGGTTATGTCATGGTCATGTCAAGTTCATGTCATGTAAAGTGACTTATGCCGCTTTCAAAATAAACGGCTCATATCTTAGTTTCGAAATGTTTAACCTTATTCACGAAGAGCGTCGACGAACACTACTTGACACTTTAAAATAATAATAATAATAATTTACTTTAAAATAACCTTAAAAATGGGAAGAATATTGTTGGAAAAAATCCTTCGATAGCCGTCACAACTTTTTCTTTACCGTTATATTATAAGAATCGTCTCTGCGCACCTTCGACTCGTGGCGTGGGTTTTCGTTCGCTTTCGAAAAGGTATTCCGAAGATTGTTGACTTGATTGCACGTTGTACAGTAGAACTTCATTCGTGTGAACCTGTCGAGAGACAAGTTGAGTCGCGTAATCAGGTAGTGTATACACAATAGAAGTCAACATTTCTCTCGCGACTAACTACAATTTTTGGTTCATTTAATAAGAATTCATAAAGTGGATTCAGTTCAAGATAGAATTTAGTTGAACAGAACACTGATAAAATCTAGTTCACATAAATGAAGTTTATATAAACGGAGTTTCATTCTGCTCATAAATCCACGCTTCATCCCAAGTTTTCATGCGTTTCATGAACATTGTAAAGATCGCAGAACACGCTTGAGGTCGACTGACATAAACAGCTCCTGTAAACGCGATGTTTGATGAATCACGATCGAACTCAGCGTACATAAACGAGTACAGTGCTGCCTCTACTTGCACCGCGGGACTTTAGAATGAAAAATTCCGGGTATGCTTTTTTTTGTACATAATTTATGTACCACGGTATAGCTTCTTTGTTGCTGTATGCTTCAGAAATTTCATTTTCGCCAGCTTTTTGGAAAATGGTAGCATCGTCGCTGACGTAAGTCGTGTACCAGTTCCCCGACTCTTTTCGCAGAACCGTCCGGCATTTTATGCGACTCGCGAGCTCGCAAGAATCACCGTTTTCCGTCTCGGGTCTCCATCCGCTCGTAATATGGGATTTGGTGTCAGAACGCGCCGAGCAAGTAGTCCGCAGCGTTCGTGAATTAGTAATCAGGATGTGCGTCTGCGACCGGCGCGGAGCGACGCGGAGCGGTACAAAGGGGAGCGGAGAGAGGTGGGGAGAAGCGGCGCGTACATTTTCGTACACACAGGTGGCAGCCGCAGTGGGACAGAGAGAGGAGAAACGATCGAGAGAGTGACTTCCAGGTGAGAACAAGAAGAAACGGAAGTGGGAGGTCGATATTGTCGAGGAAAAAGGGAACGAGGCGAGCCGCGAGCTCAAAAGACACACGCCGTCGGAGAGAGAAGAAAACGATGACGAGATGAAAAATTGAAAGAGAAAGTAAAAACGAGAAACAGAGAGGAACGAAAGGGAGAGAAAGGCTGGTGGAGCCGAACACAGGAGAACGAGCGATGAAAGCACGAAGAATAAACGAGCAGTTTATTCGAATCTGGAGAAAATGCTGGCCAATGCTGTTGTTTCAATGAATATTTCGTGTTCTACTGCGCGTTGCTGTATAAGCAGGCTGCGGGTTTTATGCATTTATGACAAAAGCTGATAAGTGTAATTCGAAACAGTAAGAAGACTGAAAGAATTTCATTGATCATGCGCTGGACTCATTTAATCCCTTGCCGTAACATTTTACTCGCAGCCGCAATGATCAGAATTTTTTCGACTATAATAATTTCTAATAAAAAAAGAAGAAAATTCGTATTTATTGTGTACATATTTATTGATAACGAGAGAACAGTATTTTATTCTGATTTAAAGGCTCGGAATAACATTCATACTTAACAGGTTATTACTAGAAATCCCATCACGTGTCAGACTCGTGAAAGTATGGCAAGGGGTTAATCGACTTTTTAATGACTAAACTCAAAAGAAGCTCGATATTTTTTTCCACTAGAAGTAATTACATTGTGTTAATTCAAATAATTTGTTTGATTGTCGACGAAATTGTTGTCACTTCTGAATGATTTTTTTATGAAATTCCAAGCTGTTGAACTTTAATTTTAAAAGTGTTGTCTGTTTGATTATTTGCGAACAAAGATATTTAAAAATACTAAGAATCTATTCTTAGACATATAGAATAGAATCTATTCTCTGACATAACCTTGAAAAATGAAATCATATTTTAAAAATAATTTATCTTGATTTTCGGTTACGTACATAATCAATGACGTAGATAGACATAGAATAGAATCTATTCTCTGACATAACCTTGAAAAATGAGATCATATTTTAAAAACAATTTATTTTGATTTTCGGTTACGTACATAATCAAATTATACATTTGCAATCTTTAGAATAAGACACACGATCCTAATGTCGTCACCGAGTCGATATTTATCCTCAAAGGGTTAAGAAAAGAGGGAATCACAGTTCGAACGGGATAAATAGATGTTTATGGTATCGTGATATAGGAGAGCATGGGGTGATATGGGGAAACAATTACAACTTTCGTCGCATCTAAAAAAATATTTTCAGTTTGATCAGTTTTGTTATTATAATTTTTGTTTACGATGTGAACGATAACACTGTATAGGAAACATAAGTTATTTTTCATAGCATAGAGTGGTATCGTTCTATGTAGTGTCATATAGTATTATCACAAAGTGGAATAGGATGTTTTGGCTCGCTCATTCTGCAAATTCTCGTACGTAGAACGGAATTTGTCGAACCATCTGTGGTATGGTTGTTCATTAGCATCGCTAAGAATGCTGATGATATTGCGAATGGCTGTGCTATGACTCAGTTCGAACTCCTACACGAAAATCTTTCAGTACTTGTACCACAAAATATTATTTACATAAAAATCTACGCTCGAAATTCTTTTAATGACTCTTTTACGAGAACTTTGTCCTGTGATTTGTATTATGTATACTTCTATTTTAGTTTATACACTTCTATTACCACTTCAACGAAATTAAAACAATTCTCGTCGAAATCATTCGGCTTTGTCAACAATCATTGATTCCGTGTTAGATGTATCTCCGCCATATCCTCAGAATATCAATGCTGTTGGATGAATTAGAGTAAGATAAAAAGATTCCAAGATTGTGTTTTTGCTTTCTTACGTCATAAATAACAGGATATTGAACATTTGTTTCGTTACTGATAACTAAACTGCGGATGTTCATGCATTTATACTACTTGCAAAATATTTAAAACGCAAGAAAGCATTTATATTAGCAGAAATTCACAGCAATTTTGGTATAGTGTAGGAAAGTTTCTTGCAATTCAATTTTGCATAAGAATCTACAATCTGCTACTAATATAACGGGTCGACATAAAGAAGTTATAATATAAAAAGTGTGAATTATTATATGGTTAAAGTGTGAATTATAGTATAGTCAAAATGTGAGTTATTATGTATTTTATGAAATGTGCTCTCTCTCTCTCTCTATGTATTATGTATTTTAAAACGCATGTTTTAGCCGTTTTCGAAAAATCTTCATGTAGTTTGTCTGTTTTATCAAATCACTATTCATGTGTGTGTACAAAAACTTGTCTTTATAAAAATCACTAAACAAGTTTGAAATTTACATCTTCATTAGTTTCGTTTAAAAAATTCTTAAAGTAGTGAAACCCCACAATGGAATTCGGAAAAACTTTATTATAATGAAATTTACATATTTAACTCTGTAATGTTACAATTCTTAAAAGAAAATCGAAAAGACATACGAAGAGCCCCGGAATCGATTGTTGTAAGTCCAATTATCGTTTGCAGTTCGAGAAATTCTTTATCAGTTTGCTAAAGCAGTATCCGATTCGTACGTCACCTGTGAATAAACATATTTTTCTATATTTTAATATGCATAGATATTTTTTGCAAAAAGCTTAAACATGAGCATGACTTTGAACTTGAATTAATTATTTTAGTTTTCATGCGCTCGGAGACTTACACCCGATTGGCTTCCGAGCCCACCACATGTCTAATCTACTTTACATGCTCGATTATGGAACACAGATTCTCCAACAGCCGCATTCTTTTTTGCGACATGTAATAAACACTGCCGCTCCACTTCTACTCTCATTACCCTCGATCATTTTCATCGACGCCATTCCATCATCGCAATCGTTCGAAACACGAAGAGTAAAGAGAACTCGGTTCATCGGCAAACGACCAAAACAAAACCTCCGCGATAGTACAGCTACTTCGGCTGCTCGAGACCGAAGTAAACAGGTGTCGGAAACGGATAAAGAAGATTAAGTTGGCTAATGGTTTTGTGAAGCCGCCTCGAAACGTGAAATCGTGCGAGCGGCGCGACGGATTGAAATATGCCAGACAAAAATTCGATCGCTGCGAGACGGTCGTTCGATATTGAACGGATGCTAGGAGTATAATGATCTATCAGAAGCCAAACCGAGGAGGAAGCCGCTTGATATTTACAGTTAGACGATCGCTCCAGCGATCAGCCGATGCTTTCGCTCCTCGTCCTCGAACAGAATTCCGGATTTTCGTTCGGCTTGGCTTGGGTCATTCCGATCGCGCTCGCGACTCCCAACTCGCAACTCGCAACACAGCACATACGCGTAAGGAACGGTATTGGAATTCATTTCGAATCCATTTCGATCTGTATGTTAGTTGCTTAACACTTTGACGGCCCGGAGTCACGTACACGTGACTTCGCGAAAATTTGAATAATAAAAATCTAATTAAAAAGATCTATTCGCAAAAATCTCTTTTTGAAGAATGCGTCATAATTATATTATTAATCAAATTTATCCTGTTTATATTACTAATAAGGAATGTCATAATTGCACTATTAAAAAAGAATATTATAATTACACTATTAATGCTTTGATTGTCGCATCACCCATATGTTGGCGACAGAGTTATTTAAAATTTTGTTTTCTAAAATTAATTTTTTTGCCAGTCTATTATAGTTTCATAAGTTTATTAGAACTTACGCCTTGATTCGCAAGGCGTAAGAATGTTGGAAAAGTAACATATGTCACATAAATTTGCTGTGCAAGTTTTATATTCCATCGAATAAAATACTATAATTTCATGAAACTTTCAAGATTTTTATATGTATATACATATATCATTACCTGCTATTCAACGTTCAAAAGGATCAAAGTTTATTTTCACGTTTTCGAGTTTTCAGTTTCATTCAAGTTTTCCATATTTTCTATATCTCCATCTTTTCCACATTCACCAAATTTTTCATATTCTCAGTATCCTCCAAATACTCCATATTCTCCATTTTCTCCATCTTCGTCATATAAATTTTGCTTATTTGATCGAGCGTGTAAAATTAATTCAGTGTTAATGATTTAACTCGTTGCTCATGAGTATTGTAGACTGTTGAACTCTTCTTGATATCAGCTATGATGTTACGAAATCAAAGATACAATGTGTCATTCAAAAAAGGCCTTGACTTATCATCGAGGAAAGCAAATCTTGGCAATTTTAAATATTGTCATTTGCAAATGATTTGGAACTCGTTCATTTTTGACGAACTATTTTTTTGTTTGACTATAGATAGTGAAAATTGTAATGGCATAATGTAAAGTTTACTGTCCTGTCATTGATGTATCGTTGATTGCATTTTGTTATTTATTCTCCATCTTCTTCATATATTTTGCTTATTTTGCTTATTTTCCATGTTTTCTATATTTTCTATATTTTCTATATTTTCCATGTTTTCTATATTTTCTATATTTTCTATATTATTTTCTATATTTTCTATAGATCATTATAATGGCCAGTCCGGCCGATTACTATCATGAAAACGAGAATAAAAATTGGTTTCATGTAAGTTTATTTTAGGCATTGATAAAATCATGAGATAATACTAATATGTAAGTTTTATAATATAAAAATATAAATACGAATATTAAACTGAATATAATACTAATATTGTGTTCTCAATTGAATATTGTTTCTTAAAAGTCAAGATTATTTAATCAAGGTTAATTTATTCAAGATTAATTTATTTTAAAGTT